AGAATTATTGCTCGACAATTTTCCAAGTTCATAGTTTCGTGTTTTTTTACGGTTTTGCACGAATATTCGGAACTTATTAACTGCATCAGCTTCCAGATTCTGAGATGCTATGTAAAGATGGCCGCCATGATCTTGGCTTTCCTTGTCTCGTGACCTGAAAATTAATCGATGTGTCAAATTGTAAAATGCTAAAAAGATTCCAATACGATGATCTTAAACTGTTCCGAAAAAAAAAAAGAACATCGTAGATAGATTCTGTTTCTTTTGGAAAAGAAAAACGATATTTTCCAGTTATTATTGTTATAACTACCGACTGCTATGACGTTTATCACTAACCATCAGAGTTTTATAATTTTATCAAGAAAGCTCTCGAAGTTCATTCTGAGTCTTAATTGTACTCTTTCTTCAAGATCATGTTATTAAGAACATATGCAGAAAAAACTACCGTGTGATCGTTCTCTGCTTCTGCCTGAGAACTACTCCTCTGCTTTTCAGGTCTCGATTCCGGTTCATTTTTCTTAATCTTCGCTTGCTTCTTTGCGTTAACCACTTTCATAACCTCTGTGCAGCAAAAATCCCACAAACTCTCAAAGTTAAAAGATGAGCTTCAAAAAACTTGAAGAAAACACATTTGCAAATTAGTTATGCAGAAAACGCTCTTTTTTACCTTGAGTGGTGACTAGCCGATATGCTCGACCAAGAACTAGAATATCGTGTGGCCGGAGGAGCTTGACACGAGTGTACCTAACGGTCTTGCTCTCGTTTGGATTCTCGCTGGAATCCGGAAAGGGGATTATGATGGACACGTAATGGCCCGGGTTCGTCTTCATCACCTCACTAGCTGTTACCGGCCAATACATCCTCTCTTGCTTCCCGCTCGGATGTTGTATAACCAGCGCCGCCATATCCACCGCCTGGCAATTCCCCATCGGAGCTTTCTCTCTCTAAGGTTTTTGCCTGTACTTTCTCTATCTAGATTTTTTTTTTTTTTTTTGTTAGTTAGATGAAGGAATGTGCCATAAATAAATGGTCCCTTTTGCTAAAAATGTGATTGTACAGTCATATATGCCTTTGAATTGCCTGGCTTTATATACAAGGTTTGCTCCACCTTTTTTGGTACTTTATTTGGGATTCTTTGATTTTTTTTTTATGCAATTATTTGTTTTAATGTATATGATACTCATCATACCAATATGTAAGTCTTTTTTTCACATATCAATGCATTTTATACTGTTTTTTTAGTACATAATTGTGAATAGTAGTGATATACACATGTGCATGATTTTTTTAGTACTTTTGTTTGTTATCTTTGCTGACTGAGCATCAGCCTATGGTTGTTCGCCATGCGGTTAGCCGTGATTGGTCGAAGGTGGAGTGCTCATAAACTACTTCATGTGACATATCATAGGATAAATATGTATTTTTGTAAAATATAAAAATAAAAATACACGTATCGACCAACTTAATTGGCAGACCGTCTCATATAATAATTTGTAGACGAATTGTTATGTCCAATTTAAAGTGACAAATGAAAAGTATATGCATATGAATTAATAAAATTGTAATAACAAGAACTTTGTTACTTTTGAGTAATTTACACACTTGATAGAACTCAAAAAGTGGCAAATATCATATTTATGTGAAGGTGCTCTAGTAAAATATTAAGCTTAATTTACCACCTTCCCTTTAATAACATACCCCATAATTGTAACACCTTTTTATGTGGAGTGTATATAAAGTAATGTGGAGTAATTATCAACTAAACACTAATCTTAATCATTAATTTTATCCTCAAGCCAGCCAACAAATTCTCCCTAGATAATCAAAATATACAGTTTTGCTACGGAGCCATGGCTCGACTTATGGAGTCATCCACATTTATTCACAAATCGTGTATTGACACATGTCTTACAATAAATACACTTTAGATATGTGTCAATACATTAAGTAATTGTTGGATTATGTGAAATGGTATAAATTTCATATTTTGATTGGCACATACACAAGTTTGAAATTTTAAGGAAGACCTTTGACTTTTGTTGGCTATTTTATTTTTATTCATCAAAAAATAGAAACCTAGCTAGATTTACAAAATTGATAAAATTTCAAATATATATATATATATATATATAAATATTTATATATATATAAATATGTCCTATTAATGTCAGTTTGTGCAAGCCATGTGAGATGTTGGGGATCTTAGTTCCAAAAACATTAAATGATGAATTGGACCATTTTCTGTTCAAACATTGGAATAAATATTAAATGAAAAAAAAAAAATATTTCTCAACTTGTGATGACCAGCCAAATATATTAAATGCTGAGAGCATCAGTTTTCTACTGTTAGGTTAGGTTTTTAATTCTTTTTTCAAGATTCAGTTTGTTTTGTTGGGTTTATACTTCATACAGAAAATGCTAAGGTTCCGTTATGGAACCATTCTGTCGGGGCTTATAACCGTTAGATCATCATGTAACCGTCAGAGATAATTGATCTAACGATTACAAATCTCGACAGAATGGTCTCGTAACGGGACCGGAACCGTACGTAGCATCTTCTTTATACTATATGAGGTAACATTAATTTCAGGACTTGTTTGTTTGTTTTATGGGCTCTCAAGACAAGTCTGATTTATTTATATAGGACTTGACAAAATTTGTAGATCACATTTTAAATTCTTTATGACAACATTAATTCAGATATGATATACTTAATTGAAAAGAGATGAGAGGACAAGAAGTTTTGCATCAGTTGGATGTGTAGTGAACAAAATTAGAGAAGTTGAGAGTAAATTAATCTCTACATTTTTGTTTGTATTAAGTTGATAGGGAACAAGGCATATAAAAATATAGCAATATAAATTAAATTTGTACCTTGATCTTGACAAAATATAATATTACCAAAATCATGATATTGAATTAATCATCTTAGTCTTACACTATGCAAATTAAAATCTATTCATCTACATTTATGTCATGATTGGTATGAAGGAATGACATGTGAATGGAATGATGATTTCTTAATATATTTTTTGAAAAGTAATGACCATTCCAATGGGAAAGACAAAACCCATCTCCATGCGATTAGTCATTCCATAGTTCATGGAAGGTTTATCATTCACATGTGTGTAGGAATCAATTTTTTTAAAAAATAAAATTAACAAATAATAATAAAAAATAAACACATAATATATATTATAAATCATGACTAAAATATATTAAATAAAATTGTTATAAAAAATAAAATTCAAATAAAAAAATTGAAAATTTACTTTTATTTATTGTTTAATTAGATATATTAAATACTTATATAAAAATAAAATAAAAAAGCATTTATATATAATTTGAAAATATTTTTATTTTTATTTTTATATATTATTAAAAATATACTATTTTAAAAAATGAAATTCAAATAAAAAAATTGAAAACTTACTTTTTTATTGTTTAATTAAAAAATAAAAATATATATTATTAAAAATATATTACTTTTTATTTTTATATATTATTAAAAATATAATTTTTTATATATTAAAAATATATTACTTTTAATAATATATTATTTTTTATATATAATTTAAAATATATTATTTTAAAAAAACATTTATATATAATTATTAAAAATATATAGTTTTCTTTTAAAGCTTTTATATATGTTTATAATAAAAAATGATAATGTCATTCCATTACGGTCTTATTCCTTCTGCATACCAAACACATCAATGACAAAACTTGTTTAATTCCATTCTCATAATCACTCCATTCTTCAATTCATTCAATTTCTACGAAATTCGATTCCAATATACCAATCATGTCATTAGTGTTTTATTCAAATTAGTGAGGCTGTTGTTAGGCAGACCTAACGGTCAGATTGTTATACTTTTTCTTATGTAATTTAAAATATAATTTTCATCGGTTAGATAATCATACTTTTTTTTAGGTAATTTAAAACACAACTTTTAATAGTGAAAGCTATACAAACCAAATTAGTTTTATCAAGTTCAATCATATATTTGAGCTGAATTTTATTTATTCTTTTTTTTTGGCTTCTAATATTGCAAGTTATATTAAAAAATATTT